TTCTTGGGCATGTGCTAATCACTCCTCGGAACAGCATAGTTGATCAGGCTATGCCACTCCCAAGACTGACCATACATCCCCGAGCTTACCTGTGATATTCAACAATCGTAATACTTTTGTTCTTGTCATTGTGACATTGATTTTAGTATGAATGCAGGCACGTATACTTACTTAAATAATTTATTATTTAAAAGTATAACTCTTAGACAGAGTGTTTTAATCCCAATGTATTTATAGTTAGTATATCTTTTATGGGTTGATATACTTAATTCACTATAAACAATGCTCTGATACCAATCTGTCACACCCCAAAACCAAGAACGGCGGAAACGTTCCGGGGTGGAGGACGTCATGTGAAGTATCATAACAGTGTAAAGTAGTAAACAAGCAACAACATCATCCATTGCATTAAAAGTAAAGTTTTAATACATGTGTGTTCTTTCATAATGTACAACAATAAAATGAATAATCAAAATAAGACGAGTCTTGTCTGTGCTCCGTCTTCTCAATACCTGGCCATCGTACCTGTCTGACTGATGACCTGAGAATACAAGTTATTTTGAAAGAGAGTATCAGCCTAAAGCTGGTGAATTCATAAGTATTTAAGTGTCATTGTCTTGTTTTGGAAAGCTATTATGAATGCCATGTAAATGTTTAAATGAAACAGTTGATATAAGTATGAAAAACCCTAGAAAATCCCATGTTTCCTACTAGTATGAAATGTAGTCTTCTACCAAGACCCGAATGTTTTGTTATGACAAGGTAGTCTTCTACCAAGACCCGAATGTTTTGCTATGATAATGATAGTTTTTCCTTCTTTTTGACTATTACAAACAGTACTTAGTCTAACTCATCGTTTATGTGAATGTGTCACAAAATAAAGTAATAGGAAAAAATATAATCATGTAAGTGTTATCCTTTTGTATTAGGATTAACACGACATCGCGGTTTGCGAAATGTATAACCTTTGAACATCTGTAGATTGTTCAATTGTCCTCTGTAGCTACAACAGGGGGGGAAGGGTTAGTCCCGTAATCGATATCCTAATATAAGTATTAACCGTAGACATCCGTAGATGTTCATCAACCTCTGTAGCGAACAGTAGGCTCGAGGAATGGTTAGTCCCGTAAACGTATGTTAATATAAGAATCAATCGTAGGCATCCGTAGATGTTCATCAACCACTGGTGCTAACAGCTGGGCTTCGGAATGGTTAGTCCCGTCTAGATATCCCGTTGAACTGGGATAGGCAAGACAATTTACACAGAAGGTACTAATAAATCATCCTAATGACTCGAGGTACAAGTATCCATGTAAATGTATATAGGAAAATGTATCTACGTAAAGTTACTCATGTAATGTATTCATGTAAGGTACTCATGTAATGTATTCATGTAAGGTACTCATGTAATGTATTCATGTAAGGTACTCAGGTAATGTATTCATGTAAGGTACTCATGTAATGTATTCATGTAAGGTACTCAGGTAATGTATTCATGTAAGGTACTCATGTAATGTATTCATGTAAGGTACTCATGGAATGTATTCATGTAAGGTACTCATGTAATGTATAGTGTAGACTCATGAATGAACTGAATCTGATGTAATTCCTTGTAATAGGAATAATGTTATGTATCTCCTAACTATCCATATAATAGTTAACTGGAAGGTAATTGATTGTCCAAACAGGTTTACACACCCTTGCTACACAAGAGTGTGGGAAACTGAATGAAGGATGAAAATTATAACATCAATACATATAAAAGAACATAAGTGTAAAGATATAGTTTTGTTCAAGAAGGTAAAAATGGTTTTGTAAGACATCTAAGAGTTTTGAACAATAATTAACAATGACTTGATGTCATTTTAATAAACATTTCAAACGTAATACTTTGCTATCAAGGTATTTTTAAGATATAAAACCATTCATGCATCACATTTGTAGTATGTGAAATCTGCTGAATGAAACACAGTTATAAATATATATGATTGATTTATTAACATGTTTTTTCTACCTGTATTCCCCCCCCCCCCCCATTTAAGCATTTAAAATCATTTAAAACATTGATTAAGGGGTATGAACTCACCTGTTGTGAGTGGTTCTAACGGGTATGCGTGTAGGGATGAGAAGTTCCACGAATGAAGTCTCGAGACACAATAAGTCCTAAATGACATATAAGGACACATATTGACATGAATATAGTGTTTATAACACCTATATGAAAGGAAACACCTTCCGGGACCAGGAAACACCTTGACCAAGTGTTGGAATCACATGTGATTCAACATAGGAAGGTATAAAGGCACTCACATGAGTTTACTACCATGAGTTCACGGCCCAAGGGAGTTTACGGCCGTAAACTCATGGCTACTCATGTGGGAATGCAAGTTTGAAGGCTAGGGTATGATTTAGGGACATTAGCTCTAACCTATGATGAAGAAAAACTCACTTTCTTTGGAGTTTTAAGGAGTTCACGGCCCTAATGAGTTTACTGCTGTAAACCCATGGCCATTTATGTTTATGAGGGTCCTTAAAGGTCATAAGGAAGCATCCTAATTTCAAGCCTAAGCCTTAGGAAGTGTTTGTGGCATCAAAACACCCTTAACTTTGAGTTTACGGCCTATGGACCATTTGGTCATGTGTTTGCGGCCGTAAACACTCATGGGTGTTGGTTATTTTCAGTTTGGGTCCTAGACACATCAAGGTAAAGTGCTATGTTTGTCTCTTGGCTTAATGAAGGCATTTAGGGCATTTTGGCATCCTAAAATGGAGTTCACGGCCAAGAACATCTTGGTCGTGAACTCACTTTCAACCCTTGATTCTTAATGTTTTGGATGTCTAAACAAAGCTATGGGTAGTCTCAAGGTTCATTTCCAAGGTTTGGAGGGACATTGGGCACACTTTGGCCCTAAATTTAGTGTTCACGGTCCAAGAAGATCTTGGTCGTGAAACCACATTTCCTTGGTGTTTTGAGTTGTTTTCTATCCCTAAACTCATTAGTGTACAAGTCCAAATAGTTTCATGGCTTAAGGAAGAACTAGGCACCATTTGGCCCTTATAAAAGAGTTTACTCTCCAAGTGTTCTTGGGCGGTAAACTCTCAAATCTTGCGGTTTTGATCTGATTTTGATGTTATTAGGCACAATCTAAGCTATATAATACAACTAGATAGAAGTACTCACGATTTGGGATGAAAACCCGAAGATCCGTGAGAGAGAATTTGGCTTTTCTCTAGTTGGAAATGTAACTAATGAATGAATATGGTTTAGATTTCTATATATAGTCCTGGGATTTTTGGAAGAAAATATTTTATTCCCGAAATGAACTCTAATATCATAGAGTTTTGGAATAACAGTGTTGCACAAGACCCTAGTGCATCCACTCTCCGGATATCTCCTTAAGTGTAAATCCTGAAATACTCAAACTTATACCCAAAAGTCTGGAATTTCACTGTAACTGTTCTAACTTCTATTGACTTGATATGGTTTGTTCAGAATGGAAATTTCGGGTTGTCACAGAAGGGCCCGGCCTGATCGCACCGCATCACCCTATCGTTTCGACATCTAGAGATTTTGGGAATTTGTACTCTGATAATATGTTACTGTGATACTCTTTTGACTATTTTGATATTAGTGTTTTATGATTTGAATGAAATTAAAACAATTTTTTATCCGTATTTTTTGGGATGTTACAAATAAAGGGCAATGATGTAACAAAAATTTGAAAGTATGATGTTTCAATACACAAATATATAAAAATTGTGTTGTTGCTTGCATCTAGCCCTATATTTGAATACATTTCTGAGACCAAACCTTTTTTAGAGTTTAGTTATTTTCTTTAGCACATTATTCAAAATGACCATCTCAATAACAAAAGGACATGGAATACATCTTGTATAAGACTTTTATGTTGTGGCTCAAAGTCTAAGCCTTCCAACTTAAGCCAAAGTAGATAGTTGTAAATGAAAGGTTTTTTTTTAATAGAAAAGCCCTTAAGGGGATGTTTGGTTCACATAATGTTTTTTGAAGAAATGGAATCTATCAAAGGAATTGGAATTTGAATGTACTAGAAACTGCAATATGTTTGGTTGGCATGAAATGAAATATGTTTTCTGTTTGGTTTGTTGATTTCAAAAAGAAATTGGAAAATAAATTTTGTAATATAATAGAAATACCCTTAATGATTTTTTACAACTAATTATATTTTTTAATAAACACGACAAAGTTTTATTTAGTTACCATATTTTTTATTGAACTCTTCTACAAAATTTAAATTTAAAAGATAATTATCATGTATTTCGTTGAACACTGTAACATCCGGTTCCTGGTACGTATTTAAATTCAAGTAATTTTGTATTTTACACTGGGACTCGGCGAGTTGGAGGCCCAACTTGTCGAGTAGACTCGACATTATGCGGGGGTTTTAGTGATCTACTCGACGAGTCGGGGGACCGACTCGACAAGTAGAAGCTGTCTGGATGAAACACTAATATTTAGGGTTTGCACCCTATTTAAACCAACTTAAACTCGTCCCAAACCAGCCTCCATCGTCCCTCTCACTTCCAGAAGACCCTAACTCGAAACCCTAACCATTTATTGAGTGTTCTTAAGCTTGTGGTGCCATTTTTGTGTGTTTAAAGTTTGAAGAAGAGAGGAAAGTTTGGAAGATCAAGGGAAGGCTAGTAGATCCAAAAGTTTTGCTTCATTTCCACCTCTTTCAAGGTAAAAAGCTTCAACCTTGACTTCTCATTTGATGGATTTTCTCTAAGGCTTAGATCTTATCATTTTTGGGCATTTCTAAGGCCATATTCGGATTGGGTGTGTATCATGGAGTCACACTCCAGATCTGGAACCATTGAGGGGTCCATGGCATAAAGGTGCAACTTTATGGCCATGGAAAGCCCATGCACCACATAAACCCCATTTCATAGCCTTTTGAGTCAAAAACCCCATGCATGGACATCAAGGTTGTAGCTTTACGTATAAAAGGGACCCTAGGAGGTCAGACCTATGATTTG